TGTGTGTGTGTGTGTGTGTGTGTGTGTGTGTGTGTGTGTGTGTGTGTGTGTGAGTGAGAGAGAGAGGGAGGGGTGTGGAGGGCTGTGTGGGATATCGGCAGCATTTTTTGAGCACGATTGCGCGGTTGCTATTGCCAGTTGAGGGAGCGCATGCTGCTTGTTGTGAGGAAATGGCTTCAGGAATGTCAAGAGCAGAGGAGAGGGCATTGTCAGGGTTACGACTTTGTCTCGATACTGTGTTGGCGGAGGTAAGTGAATGTATGTGTATTAAACACTGATAAAGCACAACGATAAAAACTGAGGTTGAAGTGTTTTATGCACTGGAAAATGGATCATCAAACGCACACAGTTGTCATTGTAAGTGCTTTGCAGATCCATAAAACAATTTTTTAAAGCATTGAAGTTGAAAGAACTTGTACAGAAGCCCTGGCAAGATGAATGAACCGGCCCATATTATTGGCAAGATGCAGAAGCCATGGCAAGATGAATGAATGGACAGCATGGATCTCATGTACTCAACGTGTCAATCCAACTGAGCTGGTCACCTCCTCCTTGGCTCCAGCGTCCAGATAGGTGGAGGAACCTTGCCTACCAGTAGCTACGTAATTAATTGGTAATTTTGAATTTTGTAGGCTAGTACCTGGTTTGATTTAAAATGTAAATTTAATTCACTAGTTATCAACTTTCAAATTTTCAATTAATTAATTATTCATTTATAGATTGGTTATCGGGTTTTCAATTAATGAATTCATTCGATTTAGTTAATTAATTCGTTGTTATGTTATTTTATTATTGAAGCGCCAGCATGCAACCCCCTCCGTCTAAACTTGCGGCCGTGTGCAAGGGGCCCGTACTGTTGCAGTTCTTACCTGGTGGGGACCGGTTCGATTTGTTCGGATGCAAAAGCATTTGGTTTGGCAATCCCTGGTCTATTCCACTGCCGCTCTAATTATAGTAATTTCATGATTTTTGAATGATCAGCATTACCATGATTTGAAAGAAAAAAGAAAAAGAGAGAAGAAAATTGAGGGACAACCATGAGGTGGCATTCACATCATTTATTTTGTCTTGCCTCCTGAATAGATTTCAATTTTCAAGCGCATGGGAAAAAAAAAAAAAAAAAAAAAAAAAAAAAAAAAAGATTTCAAGCTCATGACTTGCAGGCAGGCGCCTCACTGAGCTATATATCTATCTCTTAGTTTTGAAATGCAATGTCTGTTATCCAAAATTGATCTTTATAATTTATGAATTTTATAATTTTTTATGGAAATTTTACTGACCGCCGTCACCGGTTTTGGCGGTCAGATTTCCAAACAAAGACCAAGACATAGCCCAATGAGGCCTGGCCCTTATTTGGTAGACAATTCAGTAATTAAGATACGCGCAGAGAGAATATAATGTATATGACAGTATATCCACAGAGAATATATATCATCACAGAATATATCATCACCTTATGAGAACGAGGGATGCCCAAAACAGGCATTGAAGTTATTTGGGTGGAAATGGGTGATGAGGAAAAGAAATAAAGAGGCGAATTAAAAAAAAAGAAAAAAGAAAAGCTGAAGCAAGTTATATTTGGATTCGAACTTGGGTGTGTATTTCAAAAGTTGTGGGTGTATCCCATTATGACTCTTTTGTGCTTCGCACCTGTGCTTATTATTAAGCTCCAGTTTAAGCTCTTCTGAGATTCAAGCCCATCGGTTGTGCGTGCTATCATTAATTCAGCACAACTGGAGACACCCAGGCTCCGTTGTCCCAATCCAGTCCCAGTTCCGCGGTGGAGGGACTCATAGGTCCAATCTGGTGGCAGAGTTCAATCATTTACAATCAAGCTGTCCTCAGGCCGTACTCAAACTAGGACTTTTGTAAATGAATCCGACTGCAATTGTAATCCAGGTGAGGATCTATGAGAATACTGTTGAGGAGGGAAGGTCTTGATACTGTAAGTGCTAATGAATATGACTCTGTGGTCGGATGTGATGGGACTGGGACTGGGATTGGATTGTGTCTGAATGAAGGTAGAGCGAGTTCTCAATGCAGAGCAGAAGGTGTCAGAGTTCAGACCGACAGAGGACGGCAATCCACCAGATCACCGGCCTACACCAGCTTGCGCTCGGTAAATTCCATTTTCTTTTTCTCGAATTTTGCTACCAGTGTGTTCTGCATTGGAGTATCATGAATGTATGCGACCTAAGGTTATGACCACATTCAGCAGGGAGGGACAAGTGAGTACGCATGATATGTGTATGAGACAATAGATTGGGCATGAAAGGAGTGTGAGAAAGAAGTTGCTAGCAGTATTGCGAAATAGAGAGAGAGAGACTGGAGTGTGAGAAAGAAGTCGCTAGCAGTATTGCAAGAGAGAGAGAGAGAGAGAGAGAGAGAGAGAGAGAGAGAGAGAGAGAGAGGATTGGCGTTATTGTGTCAGGAGTAGAGCTCCCGCAGTTGAGATCAGTGGCGTATTGGCGGCAAGCAAGTTGGGAAAGGGGAGATCTGTGACACTGCCATACATTCCACCATCATCGTCGTCGTCGTCGTCCTCCTCCTCCTCCTCCTCTTCTTCTTCTTCTTCTTCCTCCTCGACTTC